TCCGATTGACGTTGCTTGTCAGATACAGAGGATAGTTCCATTTAAGGTAAATAAATAGTAAAATTATGAGTCCCCAGTAGAAACAGAAAGCTCTTCGGAAGAGAAAAAGGCGGGGGAGACCTTTCAGCGTACCCAGCCTGTGAACACGAGATTCGAGTGTAAGCTTGAGTTTTGGAATCAGTGTTTTTCTGCGCATGCTTTCGATACTGAACTGCTCGTGCGAAGGTAAAGTGAAATCTTCAACATCATGCGAGATCCCGCTCATAAGACAACCTTGGCAGAAAGTAGCAAAAATATAAAACCCAGTGGTTAATTAGAAGCGTTTGACTTCAGTCAACTCTCTTGTATGCGACCACCCTTGGTGCACGACAAAGTGGTCGCTTACAGGAGGTGGTCGTCTGCGGGAAAAATCAAGAAAATAAGCTCAATCTGAATGATTACACTAGGTTATTACCTAACAAGCTAAAAAAACCCGGACGGACCAACACTCAGGGTCTTTTGATATCTGAGCAGAAAGTGCTGCCTTTGAAATTACATCTGCAAACGGTTAGACTTTCTAGTCTTCTCGGATAAGGACGAAAACTGCAGGTCCCGTCTCACAGTACTCACGTATCTGGTTCTTGTGGGACGTAGAAGAACCCACACCACTGTTCGAAAAGAGCAAAAGACGTAGACCCCGGTGGTGTGGTCAACCTTTCCTGATTTGGGTGGGGTATCTGTAAGGAGAGATCTTAATATAGGGATAACCTCATGATCCTCCGTCAGGTGTTGTAAAGGCTACCTGTAAACAGTATTAATGGTATGTGTATGGTATGTGTATGTGGTCGCTGGCGATGGCTTTTCTTTACAGAGTTTAAGTCATAACTCAAATGGGGTATCACAATGTTGCTCAATTACGATTGTGGTCGCAAGAAGAACTTCGACTGTAGATCCTTGAACAGAAACCTAGTGTTGGCCCATGCAATTTTTCCGACATTTTATTTCACTCTCGTACTCTCCCCAAATGCGTTTCGATCCATCTTCTGTCCAGTTATAAAGGTCGTTTACTGTTAGTCAAACTGTTGGCAATCCAGTCACTCGATGGTTGTAAATTTTGCCTAAGCCCGTCAGTAAGTCGTTTGTTAGGTGCCGGGTAACTGTTGGCTACGATTAGGTGGCGTTTGTTCTTAACTCTCTGCCCTATACTTTCCTTAACGCGAAGAACTCTATACGATGCACAATTGTCTGATTCCAATGTGTTCTTTCAGAAGTGGGGATTAAGGATAATTGAAATAAACGCTAGTCAGAAAAAGTCTCTATTCTTTTTTTTTTTTTTCCGACGTTAAGTTTCCATTTTATTTAAATTTGGAGGTTTTCAACGGGTTACAAATTACATTTATTTAACCTAAACAAACACCACATACTGCAACCTGCAAGGACTGGGACCCGTTAATTTTCCAAGTGTTCTTTCTTTGCTCTCGCATCAAGCTCTTCCATGCCTTAAACCGTAACGCCCGTCAGTTTCAAAATTTTACTTCCCCAAAGTTCAAAAAGCTCTCAGCAGAATCCAGTTCGCAAATGTCAGCAAAATGTAGTCAGTGCATGTTATAAAAGTGTCATTCATCTTAGGTCTGGGCAGTTTCAAATTCAAGTTTGATTAAAATATTTATCACTGTCTGTCAAATCTCTTTTCAAAGCATTTTCCCCTACCTTATCTCAGACAATGAGAATCAGTTATCTGCGACGTACATCTAACTCTTCTTTTAAGACATTGAAGCTTCCCATTATCGCTTTATAGAGTCTTTTAACCAGCCATTTCACGGTTATTCACCACAATAACCCAGTAATCTTCCGTTTGACTGTTGAATACCCTTTGTTCTCCCGCCACTTGCTCACGTGGTATATGATTTGTGACGTCACCTCATGCGACCTGCTCGATCTTGTGAACAACTTTCAAACCCTCAAACTGAATTTGTTTTCAAATCTTTAAATAGCCCGCGGTAAAAGCGGATGGTCGGATTTTAACTTCACTTCAGTGAAGGAGGGTTACAAATAACGTAAAATAAGTTGATAAAAAACGAATTGATCGTTGCAAGAATAGGTTGAGTCTTTATTTGAATAGCCTTCAATCTGTCCGTCTTATAAAGTTATGCACTTAATTCTAACTGGGCGGAAACCCTGTTGTGTGAAAACAATCCCTTTGTTAAGTAAAATTTCCCGAGTATGTAAGTAAGTAATGCACTTGAGGCAAGAGGGAGAGAAGTTGTTACTCCGTAACTGAACTCTTAATAAGGTAGAAGAACCATTGTCCCCAAAGGCGTGCAGTTTAGTTTATTTTTCTAGGTTTTAAGAGTCTTTTAACATCTTATATCTAGTGAAGTTTTAATTTTACAAACATAGCACAACGGAGAGAGGAGTCACCAGTCCAGGTGCTGCTGCAAGTTTATTTTTTCTTTTATTTACAGCTGTCATTATTGATATTATTTGAAGTCTTTTAGTAAAATTCTACCGGAGCTCCTAACCATATCTTGCGTTGTTGGCATGCACACTCCCATGTGTAAATCTGCTTTCTACGATTACTTGGTGGCGCAAGGTAATTTACAATGTCATTGCTGCAGTAAATAATCAAGCATCTCCCTCTAAATGTATATACAGGCCATCAGTTTTTGATCCAACAAAAACTTCACAGAATTGTGAAGTGTGTAAGAGTTCCATCGCTGATAATGTGTCGTGTTGCTACTTGTCGTAAAAATCTACGACGATTCTTGAGATGAACTTGCGGCCGTTTGGACAATGTTCAAGCAGGAGTTTATCATCCTTTTTATCGTTGTTCTAATTTGAGCATCGCGAAACGCGAACACAAACGGATTCAATGCACTGTTAGCGTATTGCATACACTTGACGAAAGCACCCACGCGGCCGATATCCACCGGGGAAAGATTACAAGGAAAACAGAATGTGAACACGAACGCTGCTACCAGGTGAGGAAGCCACGTGACAAAAAACGCCCCGCACGTAATCATGATTGTTGCAGCCGTTCTTCTCTCGCGGCGAAGTTTCCTTCTTAAGGACTCGTTGCTTCTGGTTGTATGCACCGCGGGCTCAACAGTGTTGCGAATCAGCGAACGAGAAATCTTAAAAATGAGTATGTCTAAAGGGACAATCGTCACAAGCGCGAGAAAAAACAAGGTAACGAGGATATAGAAGGGGTATTTACTGCTGACTTTGGGTGTAAGAATGAAGTCGAGGCAGGAGAGAATTAAAGATAGGGCCCAGACGAGGGCTAGTGCTTTATAATAAGAATCGAGTAGGAGAGTGTGATGTAGAAAAGGTCTTGTGATGGCGATATAACGCTCCACAGTGACTGACACTAGATGGAAAACGGATGCTGTTCCACTAAAAATGTCCAGTGTGATGTAAGACCTTTCTAAAAGCGTGCCAGGCAGTTCTTGTTTGAGATTCGCCACATATAGAGGAATGGCTATTGCTCCCACAAGCCAATCAGAAGCAGCTAAACCGACGATGAAAACGTTCGATCCTGTTCGAAGCAAGCGGTTTTTTATGAACGCTGCTATAATCAGGGCGTTTCCAACCAAAATAAAAAACATCAAGATGAAGACGAAAAAATCCCTCGCAAATTCTTCTCCCTCAGTTGGCTTGAACATTGCTGTAGCAAACCACTATGGACTGAACAGATTCTCCGAGTTTCTTTCTTTTTTCGGATGCAGAGTCGCTTTAAACAAGACATCGATTGAACTGAACGTGTGTTCAGCTTTTTATGCTAAACTTGTCACAGATCAAGTTTACTATTTTAATTTGTAATGAACGTGCGGAAATGTGACGGTCTTATCGAGTTTCAATGAAAAAGAGATAATTTTGTTTGTAAACCGTCAGTTCTTTCTAAATTTTCAAATTCTTTTGTTTTCGGGGGGTCGCCAAACGGGAACTTTTGTCGGTCTTAACATCAAATACTTATCATCGTTAGGTGTTCTTTTTTTAGGTACTTAACAGAAAGACTTTTCCAAAAATAACCATCTCGATAGCGTCATGACAGAATAAAAGGGGACTCTCGAAATTTGTACTAGCAAAAATCATGAGTCGACCTTTATATGTATGCCGATATGAAAAGAGTTGATGCGATCGCCTCAAAGCACAGTTTGACTGAGGTTAAGTCAGGTTCCCATAAGGTTAGGGTCACTCACGAGAAAACATGTCATTAACAAAGATTTAATTTGACCGTGTATTTGGCACAATTGTTTTGTTATAACAACTTTTCATTAGAGCGGTTAGGGTAAAGATATTGTCCTTTTTTAGAAAATGATTTTTAAATCACTTTAAAATTGATACTAATGAGAATCTTTTCGGCGCACAAAAAAACATCAACAAAAACATTTAATGAATAGACCACCAGCTAAGCTTTTGACTTTAAGCTTTAGCGAGGAAGTGTTTAAAAATTAAAGCTGAGGGAAGCACATGTATATTAGGAAAGCACAGGAGAGTTTTGAACGTAATTTCTTGCCGAAGTCGGAAGCGTTTGTCTGATTGAGATACCCGAGCCTCGCAAACCGAGTATACAGGAAATAACTGTCGGCAAAAGTCAAAAAGGGGAAAGTGGCCTTGAAATTCACTAATCTGATATCTTTCTCTCCCAAACAGAATGCCAGAATATTCCAATTTACTATCACTTGGTCAGTTTCCTATTTTAATCACCCTTTGCAACCATGGTCGAATAATAGTAATATAATAATTAAGATTTTATATTGGGCAGTTTTCTTGGCGAGATGATCAACTGCGCATTACAACAGTACATAGAACAAAAATAACTAAATGAAAAATAAGAATTACATCATGTGTTGTGTATAATATCAAAAAAAGCCTAACTAAGAATAAAAAGCGTTACTAAAAGGTACGTCCTAAAAGCTTTGCTAAAATAAATAAAAATTACATAGTCGTGTATAGGTATTAAGTAAACCTAGCTAAGAATGAAAAGCTTTACTAAAAAGATGCGTCTTTAAAGTGTCAACAGATTTGGCCGTTCTAATTCCAGAGGTAAATCGTTCCAGAGTTTAGGCGCCGCTGCAACAAAAGCACGGTCGCCCAGGGTTGTTAAAGTTTTAAAATTCGGGTGAGACAGAAGTATTGCGTCGTTAGATCGCAGTCTATATCTTGAGTTTAAAGGTTTAATTTTAACAGGATCATTGATATAGGACGGTGCATGCTAACTCATGAATGGCTTTGAAAGTTAAAACTTAGTAAAATCTTAAAATTAATACGAAATGAAACAGGAAGCCAAAGCAGCTGATGGAGCACTGGGGTAATATGACAAAATTTGGTCGATTAAAATTCAGGTAAAGCTAAGTTTCATTTTGTCAAATATATACTAAAAATAAGCATTACCATTCCGNAGAGTTTAGGCGCCGCTGCAACAAAAGCACGGTCGCCCAGGGTTGTTAAAGTTTTAAAATTCGGGTGAGACAGAAGTATTGCGTCGTTAGATCGCAGTCTATATCTTGAGTTTAAAGGTTTAATTTTAACAGGATCATTGATATAGGACGGTGCATGCTAACTCATGAATGGCTTTGAAAGTTAAAACTTAGTAAAATCTTAAAATTAATACGAAATGAAACAGGAAGCCAAAGCAGCTGATGGAGCACTGGGGTAATATGACAAAATTTGGTCGATTAAAATTCAGGTAAAGCTAAGTTTCATTTTGTCAAATATATACTAAAAATAAGCATTACCATTCCGGCAATCAGGATTTGATCGATAGCCAGACTACATTAACTAAGAAGAGCTAAGTTTCATGCTGTATTATTTACATAATCAAGAGTTTTCATTAGCATGTATGCTTGGTCTGTAGTGGGCGATAGTTCTTGTCTATAAATTGCTACCGCGGTATGTTATCTAATGAGAAGCAAGTGCTGGACTAAATTTCCAAATCAGTAATATAATTTAGTGTCTTAAGTCTAGTGATAGTGTCTAGGTCAAAATTCAGGGAAACGTTTTCTTAAAAAAAGTCGTCCTTTTATATCAGTGGTGTCTAGAATATACTATTTCAATTGACCATGACAAAGACACCTAGTTTACAGTCGGTGCCAGTAGGTAAAAAATTGACAAATATTAGAATTTCCCTTACACATCTCCGACTTGATTAAATAGCGTCAGTTGTCAGATGAAACGTCATTATTCTCGAGCAGAAATGAAGTAATTAAGTAAAAAAAAATCATCAATTTCCTTTCCTTATTTCAGTTTTAGACATTTTTCAGATGAACGACATTTTGAACTAAGGTTTTGCTGAATGTTAAGTGTGCTTATCAAGACCCAATCAGAGAGACGCAGGCGAGGTATTGCGCCTTGACCTGCCTTGGTAGCTTTTACGGTTTACGGTTGGTTAATTTTTTCCAGGTTTGACGGTTTACGATTAAATCCTAGGGCTTTTGACGGTTGACAGTTATTAAGTAGAAATTTAGTCCAAGAGTTTAAATAAATTGAGTATAAATTAATATTAATTGTTGTGTTTTGGAAGTTGTCTTAGTCTTTCTCTCTGGAAATTTCGAAATACTTCCAGATATAAGCAAGTTGTAAGGTCTTGTAATGTCTAGAGAGAGTGTTTTAAAAACATTTTTTAATATGCGAACTGGTTTTTCCAGCTTAGAGATTCTTCAGGAGCCAGAAGTCCTTGAGGATCACCTAGTGAGATTTGAAATACCTTGAAATTCTTTGACTCACGGTTAATATCAGAATCTGTATTTTGACGGTTGCTGTACAAAAATTACCTTCTTTGTTGGCTATATAACGGTTAAATTTAAGGCCGTTTGACGACTGACAGCCAGCCAGACCAGTCCAGTCGTAAAGAGAATCCAACTATTGATTAGGACCGTATCCAGCTAAAAATAAATAAATAGTGCATGTGCACGACATTGATTGGTTTTAGAGAAAATCTCTAGGAACATGCATCCAGTTCTGACTTTTGGCAAGCGCACTTAACATTTGAAGTAGTCTACAGCAACTCTTAGGGAGCTTAACTGAAGAGAAATTCAGGCGACACAAAGACTTATACGAAGCCCACTCTCTAAGTAACCCTGTTTTTTAGTTTCAATACGTTCGTCTTTTCTTCGGCTTTATTGTGGGACTGGCACCTCGGGAAAGAGGTAATTGACGTTGCGGAGAAGTGGCTGATATGAATAGGTAGGAAAGGGGTGTGGAAAAAGGTAGGGCAACGACTTCTACAGAACATGCCTTAAGTCTTGAAGTAAGATTTTTTATAAGTACAGAATCTTTTCCATTAGTGGCAAGAGCTCTCGCGCGCGTTCTACATTTGACTTACAAAAAGTCGCGATCGTAGGTTTCTGCCTTAAGTCCACAGAGGTTAATACGTGCCACGTTTAAGGTGGCTCAATACAGTTTTTCAGGGTCAATACCTCCCAAGTTTGAGCATAAACTACGTCGCCATAAACAAAGATTCGGAAAAATTGCCACCACAGTTGTATTTATTTAGATAAAGATGAAAATTTGTTATGATCAGGGTTGCAGTGACATCGGAGTTGTCATAGCGAAGAAATACCGCTATTACCTATTTTACTTGCTGCAGTATATCTCAGCACTGAGAACTGTTCTTCGAGAATCGTTCACGGGAGCTTTTTCCTCCAATAGCCGCCTCGATGTTCGTGAAGTTTAAGCGAAATCTGTAAGAGCGTTATCGAGATATTTTGGGATGAAGTTTTTATGGTTAGAAATACGGTAAAAAATGGACAATCTTGATGTTCAGCTGTTATCTGTAGAAAACGAAGCGCTTTTGACATGCAAATTCACCTCATAATAGTTTTAATCTTTTTAAAAACGTATGACTGAAGATCATGGAGATAGTTCCAGCCGATTGCTAGAAAGAAGGATTTGATTAGTATGTATCGAAGCGCTCTTGTTAGCGGTTTGTTAACATTTTGGTCTACTTTAACAAATTAGCGAATAATTTTTAAACCGCTCGATAGATTTTTTAAAAAGTTTAAGATTCTTGAGATTAACCTTCCTTTTATATTCAAGATTATTGAATTCCGCTTACAAGAGCCCTCCGATACATACTAATCAAACCCTTCGTTCTAGCAATCGGCTCGAGCTATCTCCATGATCTTTCACACACGTTTTTAAAAAGAGACTGAGACTACTATGAGGTGAATTTGCATGTCAAAAGCGCTTCTTTTTCTAGAGACAACAGCTAAACATCAAGATTGTCCATTTAATACTGTGTTTCTGACCATAAAAACGTCATCCCAAAATATCTCGATAATGCTCTTACAGATTTCGCTTAAACTTCACGACATCGAGGCGGCTATTGGAGGAAAAAGCTTCCGTGAACGATTCAGGAAAAACAGTTCCCAGTGCCGAGAAATACTGCAGCAAGTAAAATAGGTAATAGCTTCATTTCGTTGCTATGACAACACCGATATCGTTGCAACCCTTATCATAACAAATTTTCATCTTTATCTAATACAACTGTGGCGGCAATTTTTCCAAATCTTTGTTTATGGCGACGTAGTTTATGCTCAAACTTGGGAGGTATTGACGCTGAAAAACTATATCGAGCCAACTAAAGTTTTTACTAATTAAAAGCGAAGCTTGTTCGCCACTTTTTTGTGGGTAAGCTACCGACTATTATCTCAGTAAATTG